TTTCACAAATGAAGCAAATTCAGAGAAGGTAGGGTAAGTACCATTTCCTTTTGAGACTCTACACTGTTGTACTATTCCTCTCCACTTATTCTGAATTTGAAATGGCAACTTGTTTAGAGTTTTAACGTTCTCCTTCGCAAAGTCTAAGACAGCAAGACTAGGAGTAGTTTCTCTGGCGGCAATTATCTTTTGCAGGAAGTCAGAAAGATCTCTTAGGGCCTCCGCATCTCTTACGCCAATCTTAGGCCAGTTCTCCAGTTTGTTCATAAAGGCTGTCCCTACTACATTGCAGTTACCATACCTTTCCTTTAACAACTTTCTCGCAGACTGATAGGCATCTTCAGTACCAATTAACATATACTGATCAACAACTTGTTTGGGCTTTCCTGAGATGTACTGATGTAGGAAGTTCAATTTTGTCTGCGCGTCCATTGGTTTGGAATCAATAAGGGCACTGAAGGAACTGTTCCATGTAGGATACTCCAAAGGATCTCCACTAAAAACTGGGATTGAAATCTTAGGCAGTTGCCCTGAGATTGCTAGTTGCCTGTTCACTAGGTTCTGCTCCATAGTAGCTGCCACCAACATACTACTTGTTTCCACTAATTTGTCCATACACTTTTCTAAGACGACAGAGTGTGGTTGAAAGGGTGTGGCACTGGGGCTTAACGTACTGTGCACTCCATTTTCTACACGCGGAAGACTGAAAGTGGGTTGGGCTCCATTTAACTGAGTTGAAGAGTAGATAGGTTCTTGCTGACCAGGAGAGAGATCACTCTTACTTGTGACTGGAATTGAATTAAGGAATTTGTCCATGTCCTTGACTTTATCAGCGGGGGAATCGAGTTTAGATCCTGATCATCAAACAGTTCTACTTTATCTGCTGACATGCATACATTAAGCTTTGCTTGATTCTGAGCAAGTTCACTTTGTAATCTTAGCTCTTCCAACTTTCTTTCTTGTTCTAATTTGGTCAACTCAGTCTTTCTGTGTTCTAATCTCAGTAACCGTTCCTTCTCTATATAGGCCAGTTTAGCCTTTAAGGCAGCTTCCTCCTTTTGTAACTGAAACCTATCTTCTTCAACATTATCATTGGAACTTATTTTTGACCTACTACTTTTCTTGGATGCTCGACTGGACCTTTTGGATGCTTCAGAGATTGAATCATCCACGTGGTGTTCGACAAATTCCAGAAACTTTATCTCTGATCTAATGTCACACTCAAAATTTGACCATTCTCTGCCAACTTGATCAACCATTCTTTCAATATTTTCCACATTCTCATCTGGGTTCGCAAAAACCTTAATCTCTTCAACCATGTCTTGAAATTCGCAATACAAAATCTGAGCTTCGCTGAATTCTTTCTTAAATTCTACTAGTTTAGTTGACTGACCTCGCTTCAGTAGAGTACCTCTCATTCGCTTCACCAGTTCACATTTCTTAGTTTTCAAGTTACTTGTTCTCAAGTTGAGTTGATACGTATACCCTTTCTCCGTCAGGAAACGCTTCCTTGATTCATCAGTTTCTTCTTCCAGCGCCACATTGACCTGGTCTTCGGGTCTTGCTTCTTTGTTGACGGACATGACTGCTACACGAAGATCGTCTAACGATTGTTATTGTGGCTGGCCTCCCGTAGTACATACAACAAGAGGAGTTGCTAACAATCAACACGAACGTCCCAAACGTAGTTTATTCACAGGTCCTCGGTACAACACATTCTTTTTACTCCTTAGTTCTTGGATCCTGAGTCCCGAGATAACAATCTGACATGACAAATACATGATAGGCTAAATACGTGATTCGTAAGTACTAAACTTCAAAATGTCGTGTGAAATACTCTCTTGGGATTTTCCGTAAAATGTTCTTTTAACAGTTCTTACCGTTTAGGCCGTATAATGTCCGATGGATGGCGATAACTATCCAAAAACTTGAACAACACGAGAAAGGGCTAACATGGCGGCCGCTTACTAAAATCTGGTGCGGCTGCTAAGCTTTTACAACATACCGCTGACTGCGCAGCGCTGCAGTCACAGGTGAATAAGAGATTACTAATTCATTGTATATGAGAATCACAACAGCTCCCTGACAGTAACCAGCTACTAAACTTTGTCTTCTATCTATTAATTCTTCAAAGTTCACAGCGGGGAAGTGTCTCCTCCTCTTTTTGGGACCTCTTATAGATCTTAAAATGAATTTCTTCCATGCTGGCAAAGCAAGATTCCTATACCTTCTGGGGATATACTTTTGAATTTTTTATTTGACAGCACCACAGTTGTTTAATAGGGTAGTATATCATTCTTGACCACCACCCCCTTCCCCCCACCATACCCTAATGACACTAGCGACCAACTTTACAGGGCTGTCACTAAGGGCTGGGAGGCGTGGATTTCCCCTGGCTGCTATGAGTATGACCCCTGGTTACTTTATTCCTAGGAAATAAAAGGAAAATAGGACCGAAAGAATTTCCAGGATGTTCTATTCCCTACTCTGAAACTTGAAACCATAGTGACAGCCTTGAACTCTAACCAGTAAGCTCTTTGCTCTACTGGCTTTATGCTCTGGTTTTAGATCGTTCTAGAAATATACCCTCTGATTCGTTGGAAAGGCCCAGGAAATATTTTGGTTTTTTTCCTGTCTTGAAAATGTTTTTGAACTGCAACTGCTTACTAGATGCCTTTCAGAATCAACTCAGTGTGCAGCTGAAATCCTGCATAACCAAGTTTAAAACATAAATTTATTGTCTAAAATTGTGCACACTGTGACCAGACATCATTTAGTGAATTAAAATGTCAGTATCACACACAATTAAGTGAAAACTAACTTGATGTAAGCTTTCAGTCCAAGACAAGCTGCTCAGTCCTTTTTGTTATTGAAACTTTATTATCCAGACCCAGAAACTAAAATTTGAGTAGTAAAAAAACTGACAGATTGATGAACATCCCCAAATACTTTTGAATAACTGTTGTTTTAAATTTCTCACTTTAATTTTTATTCTATTTTGTTTAACTTACAGACCCGTCAGCAAGGAAACAGCCCTCTAGCTCTACAGCCAATAAGGAGGAGTTACAAGGTACTATTATATCCAATAAAGCAGAAATGGTACCAGACATACAGTAGATTAAAAACGCTTATTTTAATATGAAAATGACTTTTATCGTTTGTTATATTGCAATACAAAATGATCTTTATTGTCGGAGTTGTTTATATTTATTTCAGAAATAAGTAGGAAAGAAGAAGTATGATGTGATACTTCAAGCGTCAAATTCTTTTTCTCATTCAATTTTTGTGTTATAATTTTGCTAGGTTATTTTTAATCTGCGTTAATCCTCGGGCTCAGTTATAAAAAAATAAGAATTATTTTTAGCACTCAACCACAAACGTCACTAACAGCTTTGAAGAGGTAGCCCTCTACTGGTGTCAGGTGTAGAATGAGTTGAGGATAATTTGTTTTTAAATATGGAAATTTTATTGCGTTCGAGGTACGAGGACGCAACCCCTAATTTTTGTTGGCTGTTCTGTGCATTATTGGGTGTCCTGTGCAATTGATAAGGGAGGTTTTTTTGAGACGTTGACACACATTTGCCTCGCTTTGAGGCGCTTGCTTCCGTTTTGCCTCACTTTGACGCGCTAACTCATGTGGTGATTCTTTTGTCCTCGGCGTTCATCTTTCAAAGGTTTGCTGAGGTCTGATATTCTGTCTTCGTAAAGCGTTCATCTTTTAAAAAGTTTGCTGAATCTTGGTAAAGCGTACATAGATTTGTGTTTCCTGAATCGTCCAAAGCGTTCATCTTTCAGAAGTTTGCTGTTAAATTTTACTTCATATTTTTCAGCATGGTTCGTCACTGTCTTTGGAAAATGTCTGCGACTCCTGGTGCATGCATCAAACCGGGTTTAGTTCGGCGGCCGTTGTGCCACAAAGTAAATTTACCGAGTTGTGTAGCTTGGCGGCCGTTGTGTCACAAAGTAAATCTACCGAGTTGTGTAGCTCGGCAGCCGTTGTGCTACAAAGTAAATCTACCGAGCTGTGAAGCTCAGCGGCGCCATTTTTTATTTTGATCATGACTTGTGATATTTTCGGCACCGAACAAACGAACACTTTAACTCTATGTTATTTATTAGGAAAAACTTTTAAACGAGCCCACAGTAGCGCCACTCTCGAGTCACTGAAATCAACACGCTCGACCAAATTACTGGAAAAGTTGTTGACGGGAGCCGCACACACATTCCACTAAAGGCTTTGACAGGGTTAGTGCGAAGTTTGAGTTCAGATGTGAAAGATTTTAAAACAGTAAATTCAATGTAATTCATTTTGTCAACAAGTTGATGATTGGATGCTCTTAAAAATAGCAGAGAAAATTATCCGAAGAAATGTTTTTGAGGAAAGAAAAAGAATCCCGGGTTAAGCACTAATCGGCCTTTGAGCACCTGCGCCCTGTAACTCGCGCTAGTAAAACAAAATGTTCTATTTACACGCCCGACGCACTCTGGCCAATGTCTCCTCCGATTACAAGCACTTGACACCGAACCATTCGATATCTTTTCAAAACCTTATAATGATACACAGTTTGAATAGAGGTTTCGCTGTACGCTACCCTTACGTTCAAAATATGCCATAATCATATTTATCTATATCGCAACCACCCTTCCCCCTCAACTGCTACCCGTACGCCTAACAAACATATCGAACGCACTTTCCTAAGCTCCCATTACTCCTTGTTTGTATTTGGTGATCTGATCAGTTGATATAAATGAGGGCCTATATTTTGTGCGTCAACTACCTCCCTTTAACTTTCCTCGCCTATTAAGATATCAAGTCGTTAACGAACAATTCTTTAAAAAAAAGGAACGTAAAATTTTCTTTAACAGATTCTCTCTGCCTCGAGGAGTGCCAGAAACAGCTGCGATCAATTTATGAAACCAACAGCACAGTCAAAATCGTTCCGTGGGACCAAAGCTCCGCTGTTCACATTGACAAAGTTTACACCCAGTTGTCTTGGCTTATGGATTTGAAGGATCCCAGCGGAGTAACACAGAAGGAGCTTAAACACTACACCAACATTTTTGACGGCGATCATTTCCCTAAGCGTATTTTGGTTCACGGACGACCAGGTATCGGCAAGACCGTTTTTACGCAGAAAGCTACATTCGACTGGTCCCAGCACAGATATGAAGAAAAGTTAGGAAGATTTGATCTCGTATTTTTGGTCAAATTACGCGATATTTGTAACCTCAACGATGTCCCAGCCATTCTGAGCGCTGCTAATCTTCTTGCGAGTGATGGCCCAATTTCCACTGACAACCTGTATGATTACGTTCGTCACCACCAAGAAAAAGTGTTGCTTATTTTGGACGGCTACGATGAATACGTACACAGCGCAGCAAGCCAATCACCTGTTCTTCAAATCTGGGAGAAAAAGCAGTTGAGGGATTGTTGTGTTATTATAACGTCTAGAGACATGAAAGGAGAGGGATTGAAAAGTTCCAGCGATGCTCAATTTGAGATCGACGGTTTCGACCGTAAGCGACAAGAAGAGTTCGCCCGTAGATTCTTGAAAAATGATCAAGATGTTGAAGAGTTTTTCAGGTACTTGAAACAACAAAGTCTGGAGGATGTAGCAAAAATACCTATTTTGCTTTTAATGTTGTTGTTGGTTTGGAAAGAAAAGGATCGTGAAGGACTACCTTCATCACGGGTGATGGTGTACTTTCAGTTTCTACAGACTATGTTTAATCATATGTCTGAAAAACAAAAAAAGCCGGCGGAAAAAGTTGACGACCACAAAGAAGAACTCTGTAAAGTAGGAGAACTAGCCTTTGACGCACTTCTACAAGATTTACTTTACTTTCCTCTCAGTAAACTGCCGGATCACGTTTTGACTGAGAAACTGATCGACGCCGGGTTGTTTCAGCTGCTAAACGTGTCCGCTCTTAACCCATGCAAAGACGTTCATTTCATTCACAAATCCATGCAGGAGTTTTTGGCTTCTCTATTTCTAAAAGAAGAACTGTTATCTCAAGAAAGTAAAAACAATTCCCTTTTCAAAGTCGACTCAATTGAAAAGATCGTCAAGTTGAATGAAGTTTTTAAATTTGCTGCCGAAATGTCAGAAGAAGCCGCGCGAGAGATCTTGATTCATCTGTTGGAAATGGCGGCGAAGGAAGACGGAGAGTACAGCTTCGACAATCAAACACCGTCAGACGGAGATTTGTCTAATGAAAAAAAAAATCTTCTAACTCTATGTACACAGTTTTTCTTCTACTGCTCAGCAGACACGAGAACAGAACTTTTCCCCACTTTTCTTTCTAATCTAGGAGGTGTTTTTTTAATAAATGCTGACCAGCTGAATATTGCAGCAAAGGAAAATTTTGTTAAAACTACCGCTTCCCTTATGTACATATTTTTCTCTAAAAAAGACCAGTATACAGAGCAAAGTTATAATAATTTAATATCTTTAGCACAGCAATTAAACGCTGTCATAGGTAGTAGAACAGGAGAACAGAAAGCATCAGAATTTTTGAAAGTATTTCCATGGCGTAGAGTCAACGAGTTCTTTTTAATGAAAGAAGAAAAAAACACTCACCTTTATTTCACTGAAATTGTAAAAAATACATATCTTGGCATTCCTCTTCCTTTTAAAAAGGTAAAGACGTTAGTTAGTTTAGAAGAGACAACAAAGAAGACAAACATGAAAGGTAATGAGTCAAGTGAAGAGAGCAGCAGCAGCTGTTGTTCAAAGCGTCATGGTCTCTCCAGGGTTCGGAGGATTGTAGCTGTTGATGTGAACAGGTCAGAAGTGGAACAGCTGATTGAGATGATGCCGTTTATCACCGCTCCACACGAGATATGGGTTGAGGGTAAACACGGTGAAGTGTTGGATGCTAAGGTAACAGAGTCTTTGCTGAGGAGCATCCCAACACACAAACTGGAGAGATTAATACTCCCTGGTATCAATGTAACATCATCACCTGCTGTGGAGTTCATCAACAGAGCATTTAAACAAGATCTTCCAAACTTGAAGTGGCTCTACATGTCATACAATCCTCTTCTGGGTGCAGGAGTCGACAGATTGATTAAACATCTCAGCTGCGCTCCTCACCTGAAGATACTGTACCTTTCAGGTGTGAAGATGACTCCACAGCAGGTGATGAATCTCACATCAGCTGTACAGCAACACGGCAACATCACTGAACTGTGGTCAGACTACCACGTGAGTTTTCCAATTTTATCACAATTTGTCTCTTTATTCTTTGTTTACAGTTAATTTCTACTCAGCTCTTGCCTTTCGCCATTTTCCTTTCTTTGTCATTTTTATACTCGACAAAACACGAGATTTACTTTTGAAAACAAATCACAAACTTTAGCAGATTCAAAGTATCATTTCAAATTCATTTCTTTCAACTGATTAAACTAACTCCATAAAATGTTTTAACTGAGAACGTTAAGAACAAGTAACTTCAGCTGATATTAAAACAGGGAGTTAAACACAAGAAGAGAAATTTCGTATCTTCAAGCAGCCACGTGATGATATTTTCCCGCCTTTCGTTTTATTACGTAACAAATTCCCGCCCGCAAAAAAAATACACTGTGATCTGCGAATTTTGTAAGGCTGAATATCTTTTCAAAAGAAAAGAAAAAGGATTTGCTAATTTTGGTTTTGATTCTACTATTTTGAATGCGAATTTCTTGTACGTGCGCCTTGATAAAGATAATGTTTCTCTTTCTAATCCCGCCAAGAGGGGAGAGGTACAGGGAGGTAAATCTCCCTCCTCCCTAAACTTGGTTTAAAAATTGGCGACGGGTAACACTCGTTTCTTGAACTTAGTCGTAAAGGAAGTTTTTGACCTTCAGCGCTTCGCCTCTACACCAACATACCAGACAAAGAAGGCGTAACCACCGTGTGTCTAGTGCAGTTTTGGCCTCCCTCTCTCTCTTTATGTCACGCAACGCCGGAGAGAGAGGGTCCTCCCCCACATCCCTTATCATCACACAAAAAGCCATAAAATTACCTTTTCATCGATATCTCCCTACTCGCAACATTTCATTTTCTCCCTCCTCCCTACATTTTTGCCCCGAGTTCTCCCTCCTCCCTATTCTGTTTCTCTTCCCTCCTCCGAGAAGTCAGAATCTTCGCTAGGAAAAATTTATCTCAGCAAATAACTGTAAAGACGCTTAAAAATAGTTTGTCAGTTGTTGTTAACACATTAACCTTGTGCTCGTATAATTTTTGACAAGGTGCCGGGTTCGAATCCTGCTCAGTACCCTTTCTTTTTTCCTTCTGTCTTTCTCTTTTTTTTTTTTTTCGTTTTTGTTTTTGTTTTGTTGTTGATGTTTTTTAAATATATACCTTCTAGAGCAAAGATAGTATATTTATGGATAAACAATCTGATTTTCTATCGTTTCCTTTTTTATCGCAATATATTCTACAAAACTAAACAGTAGCCACATGCAGTCACAAACTGCCTTTTATTATATAGGCCAAGTTTAGACTGTTGATCTTTGCTTTCGGCACTCGAGGGTTGTTTTGAACTTAGTACATCTTGTCAAAGTTGTTGTCATATAAGCAATTGTCTTTCGTTGGTCACTGTAATCGCATTGTACTTTAAATGAAGGTTTTCAAATGTGTACACGTCCACACTTTATTAAAGGGAGATGGGTTGTTTCAAGTATTGTTTTGTATTTTGTTGAAGGATGATAAAGGAAACCCCAAACCTGAACATGAATGGCCATCAGAGAGGTACTGGAAAAGGCAGTTCCCTGACCTCTTTCCTGATTCATCACCTGAATCAGCGCATGAACAGGAGCAGGTTAGTCATCACTCAACTATTTTGTGAAAGTTTATTTGTTAATGTTAGTGAGACTTTCAGTGTTTGTGTAAACAGTTCTCTTTTTCTGTCCGTCAGAGGTAATCAAATACGCTCAGGAGCCTTCATTTTTAAGTCGCCATTACGGAGGATTTCCGAGTTGGTGATACTGAGTTAGTTTTTAATACAGTAAAAACCCGCGTGTAAGAACCTAGTGGCTAAATAACCTACTGGCAGAAATTTGCTTCTTTAATACCAAACAATGATAAAAACTAGCCCAGAGGAGATCAAGCAGGTTGTTATATGTAGATTACCGTTAAATTAATAAGCTTATTCATCATCTAAAAAAGGGATTGAACAGGAACAGGTTAGTCACCAGCTTCGTTTGTTTAAGTTTATGCATCAGTCATTTGAAACTCCGGCCCCCCGACCCCCGGGACTTAGCTGGGAATTTAACAGTGGGTTTGGTGTTAAAACACCGCCAATTTTCCCGCTTCCCGGGCCAAGTAGTTTGTTAAAAGCCCCGTATAGCAGGGAATTAGTTAAGTGTAGTTCTAGGCTCGATTTCAAACGCTCTGTCCGATCTGGTATTCTGTATTTCTTAAAATAGAAACTCTCGATTGCGTTCCTTCAAATTCATGAAAAATGTTACCCTGGGTGCCAGAGGATTTTTTTCTTACCTAATTCCTGAGAACGGACCTCTGGAGCCAGTGTAGAAAAATGTGGTTACATCGCGTTAAGGGGAAGGGATCTTAACGAAACCCGTCGGGGGGGAGGTACTTTCTTATATAAGCCATTTAGGTATAGTCAACTCTCGCCTTGCGTACACCCCGATAATACGGACAGCAGCTAAATTCCCCGGCAAAATCAAATTACAGAAGTTTGACTTGAATAAACTCCCGCTATTACGAACTGTCGTTAATGAAGACACTAATTTGAGGTCCCTACAGTGTCCGCTATAAAGGGCCGGTTGACTGTAATTCTGACATAATTTCTGCCTGAATGTCAGGTCTGAAAACGGGTGTGGATTTTAGAGGTCAGGTGTGAAAAAGGGGGTGGAAAATGACACTTTTTGGTCTGAAATAGGGTTAGGATTTGGAGAACTAGGCGGCACATCCCCACCGAGAATTACCCGGAGTACCCTCTGGGATGCGAAACAGCTCTGTCTTTCTCCAATTTTCTAATCGTGAAAGTAATGGGAGAGGAATCGGGAAACTTAGAAAGCGCTTTTGGGATTAATTTATCGTCGCTTACGTACGAGGTGAACAAATGAGACTCAAAGAGATTTGTGAAGTCCTTGTAACGCAACGCTCGACCAATGTGTAGGACGTTCTATACACTTTCTTTCTGTGTCTGAGACTAGGGCAACCTGTTTCGTGCCTTCCTGCCCTGTTTCTCCTATGTTTTAATATTATCATTCTCTGCGGCATCATCTCTCTTCTGCCGCCATACAAAACTTTTGGAAACGGGGCTTTTCCTTCAGTCACTTATGTTAAATCCCCGCTTCCGAAAATTCGTATTACTGCTTAATCCCCGCTCATAACATGGATAAAACAGGTATTTTGTTAATTTCCCCGCCACCTTGATTCCCTTTTTAAGCTTTTTAGGAAAGATATCACTGACATTTTGTGCCAAGTAGACCTATTGACCTTTGAAAAAAGAGTTTTGTTTAACAATTGTTAGATCAGCAAAGAAATGAGAAACAGACACCTTATATACGATTTAAAAAAGGAGTGATTTTTGTTCTCGTAACTCCGATGAAGTGATCGATAACTCTCCATCTCTCTCAACATCTCCATCTCAATGTTTTGCAGCAAGTCCAGTCACTAATATAAGGGTTTCACACCTTGTAATTATCTCACCCCTTTAGCAGAACTCAGTTCTCGGCTTAATTTGCCCATCAGACACTGTACTTCTTATTAGGCCAGGTATTTATTTAATGATCTACTCAGTCGGTACGTGCGGCCTGTTTTGAATTTAGTACATCTTGGCAAAGTTTTTGTCAACCCGGCACCCCTTTTTTCGTTGCTCACTTAAAACATCCTTTGTTTATATTCTGTAATCCCATTGTACCTAAATGAAGGCTTTGAAATGTGTCACACGTCCAAATTTACCTCAACGGGGGGTGAATGGTTTTAAGTTTTGTTTTGTATTTTGTTAAGGGATTTTGTTCAACTTTGTTTAAATTTATTTACTGTATTTTATTGTATTTCATCTTAAACGAAAATATTATTAAGACTTTTAGTGTTTCTGTCCGCCGGAGATGATCAAACACACTCGGAAGCTTTTGTTTATAATAAGGCTTCTACATTACAATTCTGACAATGATTTCTAACACTGAACACTGAATTCATTCCCCTAAAATCCTGAAATACTGCAAAGAAATTCTTCCCTCCGACGTACCGGGTGCATCTTTAAACTTAAGGCTGGAAATACTTAAGCTTCAAGGCTTTTTTAACGGAGTATTTCCTTATTTGCGTGTGGTTAATTACGTTGTGTCCAATTGTGTTTGTTTTTATTTTGTAGACCCATGAAAGGGCATCAGAGTCTCGAAGAAGAAAGAAATGTTCCTGCATGTAAATTACTGTGCAAGTTAAAAAGCAATCTTAAGTACTGTCCATCCTTAAAGACTAAATTATAAAAACAGCAGTTTCTGTTTGAAAACAAGCTCCTGCGATACTCGGTTCCACTAGGTGAGTAAGCCGGCTTTTTCAGCTCTATCCTTCTAGACTGTCTAAGAAACCCTACATTTTTGAGATGGTTCTCGACCTCGAAGACAAACAATAACCTGTGAATTTACTGCTTTTGCTAGTAGAAAAATTCTTACAAGCAAAGCTTTGCCATTGAACTGAAAATTAAGATCGAGCCCTGTAGGAACGAGGTTACATTTTAGCGGATTTCAAGTCATTTTGTAATTTTCTGTTCCACGATCCTTTGTGTTTGACAGTATCGAGTTTTAGATCCGAGTTTACCGCGAACGTCTAACCGCTGGAGGTCACATGACAAGTCTTTCGCGTCGCGTTATTGGTGGGATTAAAGCGACGTCACGTGGTTTCTCAGAGTCGCGGTCGTGCGATCGCAGAAAATTGATAATTTTTCATGTTAAAGACGATAATGGCAAATTATGGTTGGTAATGATCATTGTTACTTCTTTGGATGCAGTGGCGACTGTAGATGTGGCAGGTACAGAACACATGATCACAGGTCACAGGACAAAAGGAGTAGTGTAGGAGCTGCTCGGAAGGTCTCTCCTAATTGGTCGCAGGAAACAATGACACGCCATTCTTTCAATTGTTTTAGTATTGTTTAGCTAGGGTTAGGCACCCAGATGTCCTCACAGCAATCAATAATGACGTAAAACTTGACGAAACTCGAACCGTGCATTTTTCATCATCGTTTCCTTTTGCGAAAATAACCAAACTCGACCGTTTTACCCCCTGAAATACCACATGACTTTGCTGTTATCCCATCAATCCTCACGGCAGTAAAGCGCGTTCAAAGATGACGGGTATCGTAGTGAAATAATGAATGAGGTCTGTTTCTGTGCCCATGGTTCGTACAATCTTAAAAAGGTCTTAAATTTTACTAGTCGTCTTGAAAAGTCCTTGAATTCGGTTTAGGTCCTTGAAAAGTACTTGATTTCTTTATTAGGTCTTGTCTTGAAAAGTTCTTGAAATTCACAACCTTGTTTACGCCAGATAACTTTTTTCTGTTAAATTAGATTATTTTGCCGTTGAACATTTGGCTCATCCTCGGTGTAAGAACCTGTAAAACTCACGGGTAACGTAAAGACATTTTGTGCATGAACAATATTTTATTTTTGTTTTTTTATTTCAAATGCTATTTCTGTACCTCAATTGCAACTGAGTCATACACAGTCATTTTGCAAAGCGTTGTTGTGGAAAAGTAGTAAAAATATCGTGATCCATGATGGCCATGAAGTAAAATAGGTAAATGGTTCCATGACGTGTTTTTGCCAATAAGGTGATTAGAGGGGGTTAAAGAATGTCGATTTATTAAATAAATCTTAGTCCTTGAAAACTGAAATTTGTCTTTGAAAAATCCTTGCAAAAATTCCTTGGAAATGTGTTTGTCTGGAGTTGTACGAACCATGTGTGCCGGAGATAAAACCGTCTCTAGCTAATTGTCGCTATGATAGTTGGAGGATTAATTGGTTGGTTTGCCTGTTTTCAGTCAGATGTTTCCATTACTTGCTGGTATTTTTTATTACTTCAGTCTGTAAATACACATCCTATATTGCTCATTAATTAAATGAAAGTGCTTTCTCGAATATTTGCCTGTTTTTATGACAACATAAGACTATAGTCAACCAATGGTTTCTAAATCTACACCCTCTTCAGATCTTAGTTCCTTGTATTGCGGGCTCAGCCTCCCGGTGCCAGGCCGCATTAATGGTAGAGAGGAGAGAAAAACCCTTTAATATTTTTCAGAAAGTAAGGAAAACGAGATGAGCAAACATAATATTAGAGAAAAGCGTATTAGAGAAACTGGGCTTTTAACATCTTGTCCTTATGAAACCACGGCAGGCGATGGGCAGGGAGAATTCTCCTAACTCGATACGTCGCTTTGTCCTCTTTTTTACACCTGATTGTCAAACCTTTAGGGATGAACGTCAATTTTTATTCAAAAATCACACCCCTGTGTCCTTCATACAAATCAAAAACCAGAACAATCTCATTCCGGTGATTACTATAATCGGAGTCCCATTCATAGTCCTCTCATTCGATGTTAATAGGGTGTTTAAGGTGGCTCGATATAGTTTTTCAAGGTCAATACCTCTCAAGTTTGAGCGTAAACTACGTCGCCATAAACAAAGATTTGGAAAAATTGACACCACAGTTGTATTAGATGGAGATGAAACTTTGTTATGATCAGGGTTGCAATGACATCGGAGTCGTCAGAGCAATGAAATGACGCCATTACCTATTTTACTTGCAGCAGTATTTCTCGGCGCTGGGAACTGTTCTTCCAAAATCGTTTACAGGAGCTTTTTCCTACAATTGCGACCTCGATCTTCGGGAAGTTTAAGCGAAATCTGTAAGAGCGTTATCGAGATATTTTGGGAAGAAAAGTTTTTACGGTTAGAAATACGGTAAAAAATGGACAATCTTGATGTTCGACTGTTATCTATACTAAACGAAGCGCTTTTGACATGCAATTTCACCTCATAGTAGTTTCAATCTTTTTAAAAACGTATGCGAAAGATCATGGAGATACCTCCAGCTGATTGCTAGAAAGAAGGATTTGATTAGTATGTATCAAGGCGCTCTTTTTAGCAGCAATGTAAACATTTCGGTCCACTTTACCAAATTAGCGAATAATTTTTAAACCGCTCGATAAATATTTTAGAAAATTTAAGAGTCCTGAGATAAACCGTCCTTTTATATGACCTCTTAGTTCCAAGATTATTGATATATTGTAAGGCAGTAAAATAAGGGCTTGAATTCGCTAATATTTTGTGAAGAGTTTTGTGTTTACAAGTGATAGCCTCTAATTATTCAGGGGTATTGTCTCCAAAATTCATATTTTCGTGCACAACAATAGCTAGCATTTTTGCATATGTCAAATGCATTGTTAGTTACCGCTGTTCACGTGAAAATGAAACCTTGAGACAATACCCTGAATAATCAGAGACTCTCACTTGTCAAGACAAAATTTCTGACAAAATATTAGCGAATTGTAGCCCTTATTTTACTGCCCTACAATATATCAATAATCTCGAAACTAAGAGGTCATATAAAAGGACGGTTTATCTCAAGAGTCTTAAATTTTCTAAAAAATTTATCGAGCGGTTTAAAAATTATTCGCTAATTTGTTAAAGTAGACCGAAATGTTTACATTACCGCTAATAAGAGCGCTCCGATACATACTAATCAAATCCTTCTTTCTAGCAATCGACTGGAGGTATCTCCATGATCTTTCACACACGTTTTTAAAAAGATTGAAACTACTATGAGGTGAAATTGCATGTCAAAAGCGCTTCGTTTAGTACAGATAACAGTCGAACATCAAGATTGTCCATTTTTTACCGTATTTCTAACCGTAAAAACTTCTTCCCAAAATATCTCGATAACGCTCTTACAGATTTCGCTTAAACTTCACGAACATCGAGGCGGCTATTGTAGGAAAAAGCTCCAGTAAACGATTTTGGAAGAACAGTTCCCAGTGCCGAGAAATACTGTTGCAAGTAAAATAGGTAATAGCGTCATTTCGGTGCTATGACAACTACAATGTAATTGCAACCCTGATCATAACAAAGTTTCATCTTTATCTAATACAATCGTGGTGTTAATTTTTCCAAATCTTTGTTTATGGCGACGTAATTTACGCTCAAACGTGGGAGGTTTTCACTCTAAAAAACTGTATCGAGCCACCTTAAGCAGCGACGTTTTGGAGCGACGCTTGTCAACCAGAAGTAAGCCTTTTTCTTTTTAATATGCCTTGGCACCACCAAATTTGTATTGCTAAGTGTTCTTACTCTTAAAGAACGATTTGCCCCAAAATTTGTTTAAAATCACGGCTCTAGTGTGCAAAAAGTCCACTTCCGGTTGACGAGCGTGGCTCAAAAACGTCGTTGCTTAAGGTTCTCCTGAAAATAGTGACAGAAAATGGAATTTATTCACCTCCCATGAAGGTAATTTCCAACACCATTTTGTTTGTTTATTCTTTGTCTTCTTTGTGCGGCGCCCTCATCAAAATTGCGCGCGAGTATCACACGCGATGGTACAATTATTTCGATGGAACTACCCCGTTACTGGAAAAGATCAGAAGGTATCTAGTTGCGTTCCTGGGCAGTACCTAACGCATGGGCAAAGCCATATCACCCGGTCTCGAACCAGGGGCGTCCTTATTAGGGATCATCAAAATATGAAATATCAGCAAGTCCACAGCGACAAACCAATCATCATGGTTTAGCCGTCTGACCAAAGAACTGCGGACTCTAACTCCTGGAACAGGTTCAGTTCAATGTTAATGGGAGATAGACTGTCAATTTTACTTGAGGGTTCATAATTGCAAGGGTAGTGTATTACTTTCACATTTGAGGTCGTGCTTCGATTCCTGGGCATGCGCGAACCATATTTTGCGTTCATATAATCTCAGATGGGTTTCAGCACACATTCCACACTGTGCTGGTTTCATTACTCAGTTCAGAGTACTTGTCACTATTAGAATTTAATTTATAAATTTAAATTTAAATTTATTACAATCTATGGATTAAAAACCAAAGGATGAACTGTAAAGGAGTCCTAGACCCCATATGAAAACAGATCACCTAAAAATATATAGAAACACACCAAAATAATAGTTTCAGAAAATACAGAAATATGAAAGCTACTTAAAAATCACTGCAAAATTTCCTAACTCTAGACTTAAAAATATTTACGTTATCAGAAACACGAATGTCTAACGGTAATTGATTCCACTGGTCAGTAATTCTATGGAAAAAACTATACTTCAAGACATTAGTTCTGGCATATTTCTTCTTTAAAGTTAAAGCGTCCTTAGCCCTAAGTGAGAAGCGGTCAGCTTCTGAGTGGAAATCTATAATTTTATTGATG